GGGAGCTACAGCTCGCGGTATACTGAGCCTCGGGTGACGGGAGGACGCTAGTTTGTGTCCTCCCATTACCCTAAGGAGAACTATGGGGAAAAGCCTTAACCCCATAGTTCTCCTTTAAGAATGCAGTCTACTTGCAATATCTTCGGTTTAAGGGCTCGGTAGCCCACTTTTATTCAACACAAAGTTCATATATCCATTTTGGATACCCACGCAGGGGTTGTTCAGCGTAACATTCATAAAAGGCTTTAAAACAACACAAGAATAGCCTCCTGGCTTCCACTTTAAACAGTAGCACTTCTGACCCACTGGTCCTCTTTGAAATGCTGTCGCACACTTGTACTGGTGGCCCCTCAGGCTCACGGCTCTCTTAGCCTCACCAGTTCTCTCCCAGCCTCCCTGGCTGTCTTGGTGTGCCTCCAACACACTCACCACCTGACTTCTCTCTGACTTCTAGGGGTGTTCTCCTGACACCTGAGCACGGTCTGTTCCTCTTTCCTAGCAGGAGCTCGTTCCCCTAGCCAGCATCCTTTTCTTAATGGCTGTGCACACCTGTGCAATTATCGAATGCCGGCCACTGCTAAAGCCTGGACCCAGGACTAGGGATCTCATCTTTCCTCCAGAATTACGTTGAAACCTCCCAGTTCCAGGATCTCAAGCAGAATCCAGACAATCCCTTGCTTCCTGACACGTCTCAGCCCATCTGGCTGAGAGTCCCAGGTGATCATCACATCCAATTCTACAGTGGGATTGCCACACAATACCACTGTAGAACACCAAACATTTATACACAAAAAACGCTGGTCCCGGTCTTACATGTAACCACTTTTGTCATTGACTTTGAGTCTCTGAAATCCCTCGTTACATGTCTAATATGGGAACCTTAAAGGTCCGCTATTTTTTATGAGCGCTCGGTGCAGAACAGTTACACATTATACTATGTGCCTGTAAGAAACAGGTACACCTCCAATTTATGATTCGGATTGCATTTAGAGGAAGTAAAGAATGGGCCAACAATATATAACCCCGTGCTAGACTGAATGTATGAAGGTTTTAGAAAGAGAATTCCATGTATGGACTTCATTCTAAAATCTGAAAGAATAAACAGCTATCAAGACTTATTATATCTATAAATAGAACACATATGTAAAGTTCAACTGTCAGAGTGAACATAGCTAAGACTTATTATAAAATAGAATTCATATGTGATGAAAATTGTGTCTCATTATGTTACAATGTTCACCTATGAAAGGATCACTCATACCTGTCATAGGTTATTTTTACATGCAACACACACATTGACAACTGGTCTTATCCCTTAATACACAAACATATTGTCTGTTATCTGTACTTACTTCTTGTATATAGAGCTGTTGTCCTTGTGTATTTGTGTTGACTTTTGTACCTTTCGAGTACTTCTGGACTACTTTATATAGTCAAATAAAGTCACACATGTATTTACTCCCCTGGACATTTCATCAAACTCAATTCGCGCAATCACCCTAAGACACTTAAAAATATTATAATTGTTGAATTATCTAACAGTGACATATAAATTATATACATTGTAAAAATAATAATTTATTTGACATGCGATGCGCCATAAAAGGATATCACGTATGACAATCCACATTCCTCAACAACCGCCAATCTTAGTTTATCTGGCCCACAAGTATCATTTTGATTGACAATCAGCTGAGCTCGTGTTTGGGAGAGTATAATAGATAGATAGATAGATAGATAAATAGACAGATAGATAAATAGATAGATAGATAGATAGATAGATAGATAGATAGATAGATAGATAGATAGATAGATAATAGATAGGTAGATAGATAGATAGATAGATAGATAGATAGATAGATAGATAGATAATAGATAGATAGGTAGGTAGATAGATAGATAGATAGATAGATAGATAGATAGATAGATAGATAGAGTTTTGGCTATAAATTATTTATCAAATAAATTTTCAGGACTAAAAACATGAAACATCAGCAAATGATTATTGTTCACACAAAGTCTTCTGCATGGCACCACGTACGCATGTCCCTCGTCCAGTGAGATCCCTGAGGGATATGGTTGGGAGGTCCCGCTACATCTGGGTGATTCCCCCACTTCTCAGGTCAGGTCATTCTCTTGTCATTACTGAAGAGTTAGTTTGGCATATGTGGAGGCATTGGTGATCTGGTCCTTCTCCTTGCATGCCCCTCCACCACCCAATGTGAGTTATAGCCTTTCAGCTTATGGTGCAACTAACTAATATGTGCATTGATGAAAACCTCCATCATTCCCCTGGAGAAGCAAATAACACATCTGAGAAATGCATTGACAGCTCTATATTTTGCCATCTAGTTGGCAGTATAATATGGAGTTTAAAAATATAAGACATTAAGAATTGACATATTTATCCAATGTAGGTATAGAGGCACTCATGGGTCTTGCAACATTTTTCCGAATTTTTGTGCTGTTACGCAGTTGTGAGATTTCACATATGCATAGCTACAGTCGATGTTAACATAAATGTGAGATAATAATGTATATCGTTTATTTTCCCTAAACCATTTTCTCATAGATGTTGTATGGCTGAGTTCATATACCGCCATCTTGTGGTCATTTTGGTTATTGCACATGTTTTTACGTGTTACCCTCCCTCACATCTATGATGTATTTCTCATTCTAGGAGTACCCGTACCCCTATATATTACGGTCCCTTAAGAAATCGTCCAAAAGTTTCTTGAACAATTCCACATTATTTGCTGAAATCACCGCCTGTGGCAGTGAGTTCCAGACCCTAACTGATCTTACTGTGATAAAAAAAAAGGGAACAGTTTAAAAAAACTGACAGAAAAGGAAAAAGAGTTTTTAAATACTAAAAAAGGGTCTAAAAAGGAAGGGAGACAACAAGTATTCAAAAAATCAAGCACTCAATATATCCCAAACAGTTCAAATCCAAATTTTTTACGCCACTTAGCTCCCAGGCAATTTGTTCTCCAAGCCCTGTGCTTCGCCCTTCTTCTTCAATAGCATTTCCTGTGTCATGGATGCTTCTAACAGGGCCACATGTTAATCTGCATTGCATGCTTGAAACATTATCATCTTTGTCCGCCTTAAATACTGCCAATGCATTCATCTGCTGTATCCTGTTGTCTGCAGCTGTAACCTGATGTACAGAATAAAGCACCTTTGTGGATGAAAAAGGTATTTGGTGAGTTCGGCTATCTGATAAGGATTGTCCACAGTGATTACATCTGCTTATACAGGCCAAGCATAGAGGTCTCAGCAAGTGATAAATCGCTAGTATAACAATCGGAGTCAGAATTATTTTAATGTCAACGTTTCGAGGGAGCTCAGTCCCTCTTCATCATCTTGATCTCTGTTGAAACGTTGACAATAACATTCTTTGACTTATCTTCACTGCAGGACCTGTGAGTGTCTTCATACCTACTTTGAATTTCTATGGATATTTTTGTGGATAAGCACACAGGCATTTAACCTACAAATAGAGTGAGTTGGGTTCCATTGGGTGAGTATGATAGATAGATAGATAGATAGATAGATAGATAGATAGATAGATAGATAGATAGATAGATAGATAGATAGATAGAGTTTTGGCTATAAATTATTTAGATAAATAGATAGATAGATAGAACACACAGTGATCAGTTTGTTGAGTATCAAGGGGGGGTACATAGTCGCAGAGCAGTCAGGGTGCCCATGCTGATCCCTGTCCACTGCCAAAAGTGCAGACAAAGGGCACTTGAGCATCAGAACTGGATCATGGCGCAATGGAAGAGGGTGGCCTCTCTGCTGTAATTCCTGACTGTCTTCCTGTCTACCAGGGTAGTTTACACCATTATACCATTGTTACTGGGCACTTCACACACAGGAATTCATTTTCTATATCCATCTTATCTTCGGGTATTCTCACTATGCACCTTGAAAGAGAGGATAAAAAGAAAAGGGTTTAGCCCAGGAGTAACTATGGTGGAAAGGACTATAAATATTGATAAGGAAGAGGTAAGGGGGAAATCAAATAACTTTTGCATCAGGACTTATTGGAAGGTGTTATACCCTGGACACGAGGACATATATGTGCATGGTATGGTGCAGAATATGAAAACATGGATCTAATTGTTTGTTATACGGGCTTTGGGCCTCATTTTCAGTGTCTTGAATAAGATCTGTACAATTTGCTACATACATGTTCAAAATCCAAACTGGAAAATAATATTTTTAAGATTAAAGGGGTCACAGCTGAGTATTGAACGCAGAGCTAGACCCAGAGAACCTCAGTGTTGCAAAATGAGGGTGCTAATCACAGAGCCATCTTCGGGGCTGACATATAGAGGAAAAGCAACATCCAGTGTAAGCGCCATTCCTGGTCAACTAAAATAGCATCAAACATGAAAACAATCGGCTTTAGTGATCCTCCCAAAGGGCGCTTCAAAATGGTGGATTTTGAAATAAACAATGTTATATGTGCATGCAAGATATCAGCGGCCAAGTCTTCTGCTTAGAGTTAAAACAACCTTTTATTAAAGTGACACTAATCTCAGGAATTAAACCTTAAAAATACATTCAAGAACCTTAACTATAAACAGCAATGTATCTTATTTGTGTATCACTCGGCTATAGATCCTCAAATCATCTCTGTTTGGTCCTTCCTTCTGGAGGGGGGCTACGTCTGTTCCCCATGGTCCCTGTGTGTGATGTAGAGTAGTCACCGCTCCAAGTTCCCTCCCGTAATGGACTACAATCTCAGGTTTAGTTTACTACTTTGTATTGAGATTGTAGTCCATCATGGGATAGTCTTCTCCATTTACAACGTATGAGTGATCTTACCAATACTGCAGTGGGGATCCTGGTTAATATCCAGAGACGAGTTACCACACCCAAGAAATGGCTACTTGCTCTGTGTCAGCAGGATGTTGGCTCTGGAAGCTGACATTGGTGCAGAGCCATAGGTGCAGAGCAATCCCCTCTCTTCAATCCCTGGTGAATTACAGGACGTGCAGCAGCTCTGGCAGTGTGCCACCAAGAGAATCCATATACCTAAAGAGATAGGGGTTGAACACAGAAGAAAATGAGCCCTCTAGGCGTGTCAATTAATGTCAAAGCATTTTAAATACTGCAGGCTGAGCTTGCCTTTAGACTATCTAAAATGTAAAAGAAAATACCCAGAAAAGACACAACATACAAGAGCCAACCCAAAATCAAATATGAAAATAATTTTTATTTTCAATACTTTTATTGATAAAAGGTTATTACAAAATTATAGACACCTCAGCAATATAATCAAGTTACAATCTCCAGAATTATTTTAAAGTAAATCAATGTATTCAATAAGAGAGTCAGGTTGTAAGGAGTGTTTACAGCTTTCTGGCCCCTTCTTCTTCTCACCGTAGCGTGTAACTGAGGTCCTGTTCTATGATTGGTGGAAATCTTAGACCTGAAAACTGTTGTTCCTCCTCTCCTGTGGAGAACATAACTATGGTCGACTCTTATTTTCTTTTAGCTGAATCATACACTTTATCATCTCTACATTGCCATGGAGGGAATAAGAAAGTTGATTTTTCCCTGCATAACACAGGTGCAATTGGCATGAGTTATAATAGATAACTTCCACCTAAGGGGATGAGGATATTTTTAATTGAGGGTGGAGCACTTTTGGAAGCACAGAGGTGGATAATAAACTGGAAGTGGTTGGAAAGTAGAATAAAGATCTTTTACACAAACTGCACTGGAGAATACTGGACAGTTGATATACTGGATCTCTCTGAATGCAAAGAAAAGTGCGATGGAGCCACACTTTTCTTTCCCTGATGAAGGGACCACTTAAGGTTCAAAAACATTACGTTTTATGTGATACCATGTTTACCTGACCTCAATAAAAACGGGAAGATAAAGTGGACCTCATGTGTGCTGGTGGCTTATTCTTCTACATGTTGATCTATGTGATGCCATCCACTGGCTTCCTCAGCACCCACTAAATCATTTTAAATGGGATTCTGCTCAGGACTTTTGGTGAATCAGGAATGGACTCAACTCAGTTGATTAACCCAATACAGTTACTTTTAAGGCATGCCAACTGCCAAGGTTGCCAGTGAGATTATTTCAGCTCTAAACTGAATCTTCAAGCCCTCATATGGCTGGTGTCGTAGCTTATCACATGTGCAGCACTATAGCAACTTAAATCCAAGAAGAGACTAAGATGTCATATTTCTTGACTGAAAAGGATAGGAGGGTTCTGCTCTAAATGAGCCACATAATCTGTGTTTTACCCCCTTTCACTAAAAATCACATTGTCATGCTGACATGAAATCATCTTACATTCATTAGTTAAGTAACCATATTTTTTTTTACTTACAATTCGTTTTTCTACTTCCCGATCCTCTTAGGCATCAGTGATGTAGCCCATGCCTATTAGATGCATCCTGGGAAGGTTACATCAGCAGTGCATTGCTGGGACATCTCATTTGTAAGATCTCAGGGAAAGGTATTTTTCCCCTCAGATGATGTGCAGGGGCGGACTGGGCCGGGGGGATTCAATACTTTTTCCCAGTTTTTTGTGGTAAAATTAGGTACCTCGGCTTATATTCGGGACGGCTTATACTCGAGTATATACGGTATTCATAGGTGGTAGGGCAGTATTTTTGGTAGATATGTTCCACCAATGTGTTGCTTCCAGGTACCATAGATATACCTTTGTTATTCATGTAATTCCAAAGATTTAAGGCATAGGAGTTATTCAAAGTTGGCAAATTCTGCCAGACTTCATAGTACAAGATGGGGTAGAAACGTTGAGGGTGAAAATAACTTATGTTTGAACCCATGACATCATCCGTAGAGTTAAATACTGGCCAGCCGCACAATTTTCTCACAATACGTGTAAAAACTCCTGGCCCTTGGTGTCCCAATATTTCCCCCCTGTAGTTCTCAACTAAGTTCTCCATAAACTGCCACGCCAACTGGTAATGTGAGGAGAGACCAAAAACACCGCTACTAGTAGCTGTGAAACCCTCAGTTGCTAGAAAATGGTCCTCAGGTATTGGACGAAGGGAGATGACATCCGTATCCATGTAAATGCCGCCGTATTTCCATATCATGGCAAACCTACAGGCATCTGCGCTAACATGGGTCCAGTAGATTTCTTTTTTAGGGTCTACCTGGTAATGAAGAAAAGTACAGCATAGCATGAGACCATAACATAAGAACATTTCTTCACATTCCAAATACTACGTCAATTCACCTTTTTAGGGGCAGCTGCAGCATTACCACATACCTGCTATAGGCGTGAGCTGTGACCTGCTAAACTAGATAGAAAGGGCAAGCAAGGTACTTTCTTGTATAAATACAGGTATAGACACCAAAGACAGAGACATTGAGCCTGATTTACTAATGCAAACACGCGCACGTTTGGCATGCGTGTGCGCATACACGCGAGAAAGCAGATGCAACCGTATTTACGGAACGAACATGAGCATTCTGAAATGGCATCATGCCTAGTAGTCGCGTAGCTATGTATTTACGTACGTGCGCGTCGTATTGCATGCGCTTTAAGCTCTACGACATACAAATAGTGGCGTGAGAAATTTAAAAAGAGTGTTTAGCATGCAGTCACATATGGGAAACTTACACCAACAACAGGAATACATTAGAATTGTAACCCTCTGACCAAAAAAGTTTGAAAAAGCACCCCGAGCATAGTAAGAACACATTTTAAAAAACAAATGCTTTACCTGACCTAGCGCTGGCGTGTGGAGAATAGCATGCAACAAACATCCTGCACTGTCATAACAGGCAGGTGCTTTGTGCGTTCATGGCATGTTGCTGGTGTGAGCACACCTCCTGCACTGTCATCTCACAGCAGGTGTGTTGTGTGTTCCTGGCAGGTTGTGTGTTCCAGGCCACTGTGCGTTCACACCGAGGGCGTGAGGGATCAGGGGAAGCACCTGCCATATGCGTTACAGTGCAAGACGTGCATTGTGTTTGCATTCATGTCAATGCCGCCCCGGATGCACTTTCCTCCGGCACTCAACAGTACCACATTACCGTGCGTTGTGTTGCATTTCAACAATGTACTGCATGCCCTACATTTGTAGATGCATTAGAATGCATGGTCCTGTGGTAACATTATTGTGAGTGAGAGGCGCATTTGAGGGGGGGGGGACATTCAAAGGAATAGCAGTGCAAGGCACCTCCTGCACTGCCATCACAGGAATCTCGTGTTGTGCAGTACCGTATGTTAATCGCATGCAATCGGGTGTTTCATGCATGGCCAGTGTGAACAGGTGGTTGGGGGGGTGAATGACATGACAATAGTGTATGATGGCAGGATCATGGCTGTGTAAAGCCTGGCTGACTCTCACCACCATAACCAATGCACTCTGAAGAGCCTCCAATGTTATGCTGGTTTGGCATGAAGAAAAAAAAAAAATGTTGAACACGCCTCCAATTATCTTTATATAACGCTCACACTGGTTCATGACCGGTTTGCTCAAATGCAGATTGACATGTATGTGTCTACTAGAAACTGAGTGATCAGATAAGAAATGTGAGAAATGTTTGGTTAAATCTTGTTGTTATCTGATGTGACTTTTGGTTCAATAATGTTTTGTTGGTTTCATTATATATGCAGGTTTAAACTCCCAATGTGCGCTCCTCAGCGTCTCCTAATGATGAAAACGTTGCACGCCTTGTTCTTGTTCCTTTAGTATGACTCGGAGGTATTTTTCTAACCTCCTTATTTCCCAACAGGTGTAACATGCAGATTTAACATTATTTTTGGAGTTTTTTTGTTTATTTATGTACATTATCTCTTTGTTTTTTCTATCCTTGGGTGTAGAAGTGGCCACTGATATTCGCCTTTGTTTTTTTCACCCAACAATTTAGCCTTACCGGCTGTCAATTGGTGCAACTTTTGAGAAGACCACAATCTGATGCTGCCAAACTATGGACTTGAATGTGTGTTTTTATTTTGTGGTTGTAATGTTGTTTTTAACCATTGCATGGCTTTTGCTTGTTCCTTTATTCTAACTATATTTTGTTTTAGATTAAGTTTAGTTCACCAAGGTGTAATGTGCATACTTCGCTTTATCTTTTTATTTTAATTGTTTTTCCTTGTTGTTTTTCTTGGGGGGGGGCAGGACACTAGTATATTGAACTGGCCAGTGGTAGTAATAGTTGCTTTTTTTTTCTTCAACAATTTATCCTCACTTGCTGTCAATTCCATTCCTTTGTAAAGCCCACAATCTGATGGTAAGCAGCTATGGATATGTATCCGGCCTGCATGGATATACACACACATGCACCAACAGGCATATGCATGCACGAACATATACATCTCTCTATATGTAGATAAATGCAACTTTAAACTTATACCACTACCAGTCAGCAGGGACAGCATGTACTGCTAACACTTGTAGTTCCCTCACACAAATTGCCTGTACACAGCTCAGGACTGGTGGACCAAAGAGAAACTGGTAGTGGGCTGTTTTTGGCCCATGGGCCTTGTAATTGACATATGTGACCTCAATAAAGATGTGAGCACTCTTGGGGAGTTTTTTAAATAAAAAAACACGCATAGGGAATACTTGCAATCCCCATGCGTGTCTTGGCCAGGGTACAAACTGGGGACTCCACTGCTCCAAGGCAGAAGTACTAAACACTAAGCTACTGGGAAACTCTCAGGGTATTGTCATCATGAATCTTGGAACAGCATAGAATAGCCAATAGCGTATTATCCACTATATCAAATAACTTTTAAGGCCTAATTCACACGAGAAAAGGCCGGCACATACAGCTCCGTGCTGCGTGCACGGCCGTATCGTGCAGCTCCCAGGAAGGACCGGTGCTGCGTGTGATTAGTATGCAGCCCCTGTCCTTCTCTATGGGAGTATGCAGCCGTACGCCGCCCTATGCTCACCCCAAGTGCAGGTCCGTATGGGTGCTGGTATCGGACGGAGACAGGATTCATCCTGTCAGCGTACGAGTATGGACACCCGCACCTGCATGGACGTGCAGGTCATGTGCTATTAATCGAACAGGAAAATTTTAATCATTACCAGCCCTAATTATTATTATAATTTTTATTATTATAATTTTTATTAATTTTTATTATTAATATGTTACAGTGCAGGAAATGTTTGGTGTGCTTTAGCATATTGCACATCAGTCTGTGCCTTTTGGGGGACTTACAATCTAAGGTCCCTATTTTTCATGCACACAAGTACCAAACAGAATTTTCCCACAGCTTACATGTCTACTACTTAGTGTTCCTTTGAAAAAAATAAAACATAATCTAATAAGAGCTAATAAGGGGTTATTTTTGGCACATAAACATGTTTATGAGAGTTGAAAGAGGCTTCTGTAACCCTCAGGAGCTATTTTGAAGCCCATTGTGCCCTTAAAAACGATCCATTTTTGTCTTCCCCATTGCAATTAATTTCAAACCTTCCCAGTTGACTCAAATGCTTTTTAACAAAAATCTCCAGCCACTCTCTTCTCCTCACAATAAGATTTTGGTACTTTTAGGCTGATTGTCAGCTATGTCATTGATTAGCCAATCAGTGGCTTTGCTGTAAACTAGGTTGCTAATCAGATCCTTTGTTTACTTCTGATGGCCCCCACTAGGGAGCCACTATATAGAACCATATAAATGGAGCCCAATGGCTCCATAATGGCTACCCCCAAAATGGCTGCTGGAGGAGGGGACTGCAGCCGATCTTTTTAATTGTAGCAGTCCCCACAGCAGCTACATTATATATTATTCTCTGAAGCCCTCTAGTGATGTATATTATTTAGAGTAAAATAAATAAATAACCCATTCATGATGGGGGTAGATTGGTGGGAATCTTCACTGCCCCCCCTAAAAAATAGTTAAAAATCAAGTTTTACATTTTATAAATATCACAAGAGGGGATCAGGCAGTGAGAACGGGGGCTGAGGACTGGCACACTGTGATCATCTATCAGAAAAAAGAACCCTTAACCTTGAGGAATAGAGTTAGAAAACCAATATGCCGCAAGGAGGGACAGATTCATACTAATACCTATAGTTTTGGTATGGGATGTTCAGCAAGCTCTTTTGGGTGTGATGGTCCGAAGTACACACATTTTGTCAATATAGTGAAGCAGTAGAATTAAAGGTGGAAAGTGCTGGCATCACAAGACTTGTTACTTAAAGGAGAACTATGGGGTTAAGGCTTTTCCCCATAGTTCTCCGAAGGGTAACGTGAGGACACAAACTAGTGTCCTCCCGTCACCCTAAGCTCAGTATATAGGGAGCTACAGCTCGCGGTATACTGAGACGCCGCAGCTGACGCGGATCCCGACAATTATGTCTGGATCCGCCCAGTTGCGTGAGTGACAGCTGGCTCTGCCTCCCCCTCCCCCGTCCGTTCCGCCAGTCAGCGCTGGAGGATCGGAGCGGGGAGGGGGGAATCCAGTCCCTCCCCTGTCATGTCAGAGAGCCGTGACAGGATCGAGAAGTAAACGAACGCCGGTATGTGTTCGCTCACCTCCCGATCTACTGACCCGACCTGTGACAGTCTCATTGTCACAGGTCGGCTAGAACTATGAGGTGAGTGAAAAGCACTCACCTCATAGTTCTCCTTTAAGGAACAAGCAGTTGTCCCCCCTAATTCTCCATGACCTCAAAATTAGACATGTACGATTTGTTTCGTTCTGAATCAAAATTCTTAAAAATTTTCAAAATTCAGACATTGGGACGCATCCGAATTTCCAAACCCCAATGCATCCGAATGCGTCTGAATCCGAATTTACGTTTACGAATTTCTGATCCCGTCCGAATTTCATTCAAAAACCTAACTGAATCGGACATGTGACTTTTCTGGCCAATCAGATGTGGGGGGGGGGTTTCGGTTAAATGCATCCAGATTGATCTCAATACGAATTTTCATTACGGCAACATGCATGGGAGCCATATATATATATATAGATACTGTATAATACTGAAGCTGAGGCTCCTAGATCCGAATGGCATTCGGGAGCTCCTGAATGCCATTCAGGTCTCGGAGCCCAGATTTAATAATATATGGATATGGCTCTCAGACCCGAATGGCATTTGGGAGCTCCTGAATGCAATTCAGAAATTCAGAACCCGAATGCCATTCGTGTCTAGGAGATTTAGCTTTAGTATTAATATCTGTATATGGTTTTCTGTGGTAGTCGTAATGAATATTCGCTCGTAAATTCCTCCAAAAGTAATGGAGATTTTAAATTTCATCCAAATCGGAAACCAGCGAATCGAATTATTCTGCAGCTTTCATGTCGACCTCAAATGATGAAGTTTATACACAGAATACAAACTGATGATCATTTCCCCTCCACCTTCCCATCCCACTCTGATCCTTACATCTACAACAACACAATAAAAGGCACACCAGAATGTTTCAATCTCACGACTTTGATGTAGTAAAATGAATTATTCAGTAAACTTAGTTTACTTGAAGAATTTATAGGCATAGCCATGTAAATGGAGGTTTCAGATCTTCTTTAATATGATATTTATGGTTGCGGTTAAATCTGAGT